AGATAAGCTCCATGAGGGTCTCACACCAGGGTTGTGATGACTTTGCAGTTTAAGTTGGCATTATACCACTGCCACAAGCTAATTCGCATATCATGTCATCAGACTTTTCTCTTGTTTGTAAACAAACATGCTTATCTGAAATCACAGCAGTCCAGCCATATGAAAAACCTTTTCAGTGTGGACAGATTGTTTTGCATCATAAAGATATGCTACCATTACTTCAACAGTGAGGAGACAGAAAATATATATATGTTCACATAAATTTGACAGTATCACAAGGTAACTATAGTGCTTTGACATCGCACTTGATTGAGAGATTGAAACAGCAAACCTTTTTTGGACCACAAATTATTATGCAAATTATTATAAACAAAGGATTGACATGCAAATGGAAATAGTTTTTCATGTTTCATGATATTTTTTAAATGAAAGTCAACAATTTCACAAAATGTGCTTACCTTAATGTGAAGACTTATCAAAAATAAATGAGTGAGTGAGTGGGGATTACCTCTGCTTTAACAGTATTCCAGTTACATCACGGCATGTCAGCTTAATGTGGGAGGAAAGCCCGAAGTGATGCAGGTCTCAGACGCTTACCACTTTGGTGAAACACACGAGCACGGGTATGGTGCTGACAAACCTAGAAACATATTCGGGGCGAACCAGGATATCTGGTTATGAGTGAGTGAGTCCGGTTTAACGCGACTTTGAACAGTATTACAGTTATATCGCGGCGTGCCAGCATAATGTGGGAGGAAAGCCCGAAGTGATGCAGCTCTCAGATGTTTACCACTTCTGTGAAACCCAAGAGCATGGGTATGGTGCTGACAAACCTAGAAACATAATCGAGTCAAACCGGGATTTGAACCCACAATCACAGGGACGCAACTCTGCACAGCAAATCGTGGCGCCTTAGACGACTGGGCCACCTGTGCACACGAAGAGTGAAGAACGACACCATTTCTCCATTAAGCATTAAGAAAATATGTCTGAATGCAAATAATTTGCATAATAATTTGTGGTCCAAAAAAGGTTTGCTGTTTCAATCTCTAAATCTATCAAGCTTCTAAATTGCTTATTACATAACTGTCTTATTTGCCAAGTATTGTGGAGAAAAAATACACTTGAAGTTCAGGCCGTTGGCTTTCTTCAAAGGAACATAGAAACACCATTTATGAAAGGGCACCAACACTCCCACTTTGAAAGTATTGAAATATGGATGGGTGGATTCAAAATTTGTTTATTATGGACTATAATCTTGACTAGTTTGACTTGTGTTCAGTGCTAAGTGGCATCGGGTGATGACGTGGACTATTAAATCTGTGCCGGTGAGAAATATGAAAAAAACAGTAGAGGTAGTGGCTGGAAGTCGACAATATGGAACACTGGGTGTTCACTGTTCAATGCTGAAAAAGAAACACTTGTCTTCTGGAAGTCAATTCCAAAATGGACAATGCTTAATGACTCAATACAGCAATGTTTTGGCAGGAAATGGCAAAATCATTTCTTTCTTTATAAACAGTACATGAAATGAAATGAAATGTTGTAAAACATAAGGTTTAAAAGGAGTAATATGAGATCTTCATACATACACGTATGTCCAAGAGTCAACATCGACTGTACACACCAAATTTTAAACAGATGCTCTGATACATCGTTTGTGAGATCTATTCCGCACACAGTAACTCACCAGGACGTTCTTAGTGCTACGACAAACGTTACTTCCTTTCTTTAACACAGACATACGACAGTTGAAGAGCAAAGATATTACATATAGGCTGAATCATAAAAACCTATATTCTCTACATACATATCATGCATATAGGCTGAATAAAAAAACCCTATTTTCCCTATATACATATAGGCTGAATAATAAAAACCTATATCCCCTATATACATATTGGCTGAATAAAAAAACCTATATTGCCTATATACATATAGGCTGAATAATAAAAACCTATATCCCCTATATACATATAGGCTGAATAATAAAAACCTATATGCCCTATATACATATAGGCTGAATAAAAAAACAACTATATTCCCTATATAGATATAGGCTGAATAAAAATCCCAACTATATTCCCTATATACATATAGGCCGAATCATAAAAACATATATTCCTATATAAATTTAGACTGCATAAAAAACCCTTTATCCCTTTATACGTTTTGGCTGGATCATAAAAACCTATATCCCCTATATACATATAGGCTGAATAAAAAAAACCTATATCCCCTATATACATATAGGCTGAATAAAAAAAACCTATATCCCCTATATATACACAGACTGCATCACAAAAAGTTATAATTACGTTTTGTAATAGAAATTTCAAAAAGTAGTTCTTTGTTTGCAAAATCTTAAAACATAAACAAAAGTAACAATAAATATTTGAGGCCAATAAAATTATATCATACATATATTTATGATTATGTACAAAATCAATTTTAACAAAAAATATACTTCAACTCTATGATACTGCTGTTGGAAGCGAAAGAACACACATCGGTCAAGAAACAAAAATGTTGGTTTGTGAAACGAACTCGATTGACAGATTGACAGATTAAATGAGAAATGTACAGTCTATAATGAAACACTTTCAAGAGAAGAACAAACAGCAAGAACCAAAAAACTCCATAATTGACTACCATATTCGATGCAATAAGTGCCCAGGTTGCTCTCAAAATTAGAAATGGGGGCTCTGATTAGAATATTATTTTGGTGAAAAAAAACAGAGTTGAAAGATAAATTTCGTGGTTTATGCTGACTGCCTGAAGTGTTTATGTATGACAGATATATTTTTCTAGAATTAAATGTCCACAATTAAGGGTGCATATAACACCCGAGTGTGTATTATACGTGAATAAATAAGTCTTGAGTTCACTGATCAATCGGAAGGGGTGCTAATTGTGATTGTTCACTAGCCAATATCTAACCAAATGTCGCCATGGGCGATTATTAGAGCGTGGCGCTTATCATGTCGAATACGGTATCTGTCATAATCTTGCCTTGTCAATATGGAACTCTGGCTCACGATAGTTTCATCAAAGTGTTATGTTCACTGCAGTGATTATCAATTATGTTCATGGCAGTCAGTTATGAGAATGGATATTTTCCTTTTCAGCTGAAACTTCTTTGCAATGAAGCGTGGTCCATAATTTGGGGATGTTTATGGGGGAAGCCATCATATTTTCACAAATTTGTGGTCACTAAAATTCACGGATCCACGGAAGATTCTCACCATTGAGCAGTGAAATATCAAATATTAGGCTGAAGAAAAAAAGAATTGGTTTTCAGGCAATGTCTTTTGAAAATATACTGTGGGCGTGTGATTTCTTTTTTTTTTTGCTTGTTCAAACTAGTATGTAACCAAATAAACAGTTGTGTACCATCAACCTTGCAAAGTGCCTCCCTACATAAAAAAGCATACAAATTCCTATTGCTGCCATGACCATAACACGAGATGTGTAGTAAAGCAGTGGGCAGGTAAAGGGAAGTAACTGCATGCTACATTGGATCGCATTGTTTTTAAGTATTTGAATTATTTAAAAAAAAATTTAAAATGGAAATAAAAATGAAACGTGCGGTATATTTTTGGATGATGCGGGCAGTGCCTGAGAACCAAGACTATTTTTTTTTTAGCCTTATGTTCACTGCAATGAAAATATTAAAATTATAGAGGAATCGAATATCAACCCTGAATTATGAAATCAGTTCAATCTGTTAATTCCGGAAGTGAATTACATATTTTCAACAGCCTCAAGCCTGCCTGCATGGGCAGATGCTCCATCTTCAGTGCTGGAACTTATATAGGTTATATATGTATAGGTATTTACCTTTGAGGTGGCTGTGTTCTGTTCTGACGGGGTTAACCTCTTTGGTCATGTGGACAAGGCGTCCGACCTGTCATCAGAAGGTCCGTGGTTCGAATCCCATCACGGGGAAATTGTATGGCAGCTACATTGGCGCCCAACGTGGGGCTGAGCACATTCATATTAAATTTGAGCAAAATAAGCCTCAGTTCCCTACTATGCGGCCCGGGATGTGCCTTCTATTGACGGGGGAGTAGGTAGCAGGGCGTGGAGTCATCCCACAGATGACATCCTTACCTTGTCAGCTTGCTGACGGGGTTAACCTCTTTGGTCATGTGGACAAGGCGTCCGACCTGTCATCAGAAGGTCCGTGGTTCAAATCCCATCACAGGACTCAGAAATTTGAGGGCCGCTACATTGGCGCCCAGCGTGGGGCTGAGCACGTTCATATTAAATTTGAGCAAAATAAGCCTCAGTACCCTACTATGCGGCCCGTGACGTGCCTTCTGTTGATAAGGGAGTAGGTAGCAGGGCGTGGAGTCATCCCACATCCTATCCTTACCTTGTCAGCTTGCTGACGGGGTTAACCTCTTTGGTCATGTGGACAAGGGGTCTGACCTGTCATCAGAAGGTCCGTGGTTCAAATCCCATCACAGGACTCAGAAATTTGAGGGCCGCTACATTGGCGCCCAGCGTGGGGCTGAGCACGTTCATATTAAATTTGAGCAAAATAAGCCTCAGTACCCTACTATGCGGCCCGTGACGTGCCTTCTGTTGATAAGGGAGTAGGTAGCAGGGCGTGGAGTCATCCCACATCCCATCCTTACCTTGTCAGCTTGCTGATGGGGTTAACCTCTTTGGTCATGTGGACAAGGGGTCTGACCTGTCGTCAGAAGGTCCGTGGTTCGAATCTCATCACAGGACTCTAAAATTTTTTGGCCGCTACACTAGGTATGCAAATCTTTTTTAGTAATGTCATTTTTTACAGGTCTGCATAAAAAAAAATTATTTCATAATTTATTCTGTTTTAATTTTTAAAATTTTTAATTTTAAATTAAAATAATTAAAACAGAATAAATTATTAATTTTTTTTATGCAGAACTGTGAAAAATGACATTACCAAATTTTTAATTTTTTTTATGAAATGTAAACTAATTAAAATAAACTGTTCCCTCAGATTGGAAAAGGCTTTCAAAGTTTTATTTTCTTGCAACAAGGCTCAGGACCTTTGGGATTGTTTTGATAAAATTCCATAAGAACATGCAACTGATCCTTCAATGACTTCACCTCCATACTTAAAACATCCACAGAAATCCTCTGCAGCTCATCTTCAACCATTTGGTCATAGAGGGCTGCTAGAGTTGTCTCCCCTGAAACCCCTGTCCTGTACGGCCAAGTGAGGATGAAGAAAGTGATAAAGTGTTCACATTTTAGCTTGTTAAAAGGCTGGCATTTCCCATTACAACTAGGCCATGCCGGTTCAAACAAGTTCTCCATTACTTCCATTTTGTCTTCTGGAAGAGATTTGCAAATATTCGTCACTTTTTCAAATATGACAGTTTCTTGGAGAGCTTTGATCAAATGTTGTATGAAACATTCATGTTTTTCAGCCACATCTTGTGGGCAGGTGATGTCCAGCTGGGTGGTCATTATTGTCACATGGCCGCTAATTTCAGCCAAAACTTGAATCATGTCCCGAGCAGCTCTGTCGGCAAGGGCGTCTACGGACAATGTTTCCTCTAGTGTTCTGTCTGTTTGAGTCTTCAATTTCATCATAAACTCTGGGACTGCTGGATTGAACAGAACCCGCGCGGTTACACTCATGTTGCTTGACAGGCGGAACAACAAAAGGGGATGGCTTTCTTTCTTGCGTGACATCACCATCAAGCCTCGGGGCTTCCCTGAAAGATGCAACATTGTGGTAAGTAACTACCGTAATCGATGTAATAAGCGCCCAGGGCGCTCTCAAACTTAAAATAGGGGGCTCTTATTAGAATATTATTTTGGTGAAAAAAAAACAGAGTTGAAAGATGAATTTTGTGGTTTATGCTGACAGCCTGAAATGTTTTTATATGACAGATATATTTTTCCAGAACTTATTTGCCCATAATTAAGGATGCATGTAACACACAAGTGTGTATTATACATGAATAAATAAGTGTTTTGTTCACTGATCAATCAGAAGCGGTTCGAATTGGGATTGTTCACTAGCCAATATATTAGCAAATAACGCTGTGGGCGTTCAACTTGGAATCCCCATGGGGTTTGCTTTGAGCAATATCATAGAATACCACTGATGGGTTTCACACATTAGCTGTTCAAATCAGAGGTGGTTGCTGTGATTTGATACCTCTGATTGACATATGGGGTCCGCTTTGAGCACTATTACAGCAATACCGCACAGGGGCATATCAGATGGGCCTCACACATTGGCTGTTTAAATCAGAGGTGGTTATTGTGATTTGATACCTCTGATTGACATATGGAAATCCACTTTGAGCTCTATTACAGCAATACAGCACAGGGGCATATCAGATGGGCCTCACACATTGGCTGTTTAAATCAGAGGTGGTTATTGTGATTTGATACCTGTGACTGACCGTGGCATACCAGATGGGCTTCACACATTGTAGAATGAAACTTGTAATGAAAAAATTGCACACATAGATGGAGTTGCAGTTATTGAAGTACGGAGTTGCGTTTGAGAGAGAGGGAGCAATATTTAGCTATATCATGACGACCTGTAAATATTCGAACCAGTGACTGGAAGCATGAACAACAATCCATGTAAGATGAAACAGAATCAGCCATGGCGAACAGGGTAGGATATGCCACTATGTCCCCGGCACCCAGCACGAAAGAGGCGACTGAATTGGACAACCCGGATTAGAAGTGATCACAGCCATCAGCAAACCATGCTTGTCGTAAGAAGTGACGAACAGGAATGGGTGGCCAGATTCGGTGACTTGGTTGGTGCATGTCATCATATCCATAGTGTAGATGGATGCTCATGTCAGTCACTGGATTGTCTGGTCCAGACCAATCTCATTAAATCAGACCTTAGTTCTCGCTACCGCTAAACAAAGAACTGAGGACATCCCATTACGGGTCATGTCAGACCAACCTTGTGCAAACTTTGACCAACCAATGGAATGACCAATCAGAAGGCAGCTTTCTCGTGCTTTACGGCACTAATTTCAAATTGGCGATTATGCTTTAAAACATATTTTGACAAATTCGCGATTACAAATTTGAAACCTGAACAAAAAAACATTCTGGAATGGATAATAGATTGTCTAGATTGTAAGCATTCAGTCGTTAAAGCCATAACTAACGTTCGGAATACCCTGTGTCACCCAATCACATTCCAACTGTCACTTTCATAATCTGGTAAGCGATGCTCTGATTGATCGGATGAAAGGTCGTTCTGACGTGACCCCTAATGGGATGTCTTCAGATCTTTGTTTAGCTGTAGCGAGGACTAAGATCTGATTTTAATGGGATTGGGTCCAGACTTGATTATTTACAGACCACTGTCAATATTGTAGTGTGCAGTGTTAAACAACAAACCAACAGAATCAGCCTATCTTGACCTGGAATCCCAACAGGCTACCTGTGTTCAAATTAAGTGAATGTGCTAAATGGTAGTTAGGATCCCAACATCCCTGTACATCTGTGGAGGATACTACACAAAATAGTCACCTGTGTCCTGATCGATCTCTTTCATTGCTTTATAGATGAGGTCCAGGGGCACCCAGTGTGGTGGGTACTTGAACCGGGCGGTGTCCAGGATCAACACCAGGTCCTTCCCAGGGTGATAGCCTCCAACTGGAGAGAAGTGGCCTTCCCCAGACTGGTCAAGGGTACGGCGAGAATATGACAGTACAACGAATGCATCATCCCTCTTCGTGTAGTTTCTGATCAGTTCTCGGAACTCCTCAACAGACATCACACCCTCTTCCATCCTCGTTGGTTCAACGTCGAGAGAATTACATCTGGCCCCACAGACAAATTGGTCAAAATTGATGCCTTGCTGTTGCACGACTTCTAAGGGCACACAGCAGTCGAGCATGTTCTCATGATACCATCGCCATACCCCTTTCCAAATGCGACCGGGGTCAATGTCAAGGGCATTCAGGACCATCACCATAGTGGACAGTCCACAAAACGCAGGCTCATCCTGAGTCCGAAACTGTGCAGCAAGCTTGAAGTAACATTCCATATTCCCTTCCAAAATGGCCGCCTTGAAGAACTTCTTGCCATCCTCGGAGGAGAAAGAGATGCAGGACTGCGGGAGGACTTTGCGGTAGAAGTGCTTCATTGGCGGCAGCGCCCTGTTCCCATCAGGTGGAGCCATTGGGTCTGTAAGGAGAAAAGAAGAAACACGTCACAGAAGGGCAATGCTTTTCAACTGAGTTCTGGATATTTTTCAAGGTCACAAATGGACGTCCAGAACGCAAAAGTAGAGAATGGACACAGAAAAAGGAAATGCTGTGTCCCGAGGAGTGAGTGAATATGGTTTTACGCCGCTTTTAGCAATATTCCAGCAATATCACGGCGAGGGACACCAGAAATGGGCTTCACACATTGTACCCATGTCGGGAATCGAACCCGGGTCTTCGGCGTGACGAGCGAACGCTTTAACCACTAGGCTACTGTGTCCCGAGGAATGCACAACAATATTCATTGTACCAACAGTGCATCAAGAGCAGTTTAGGGCGTCTGTCATTTCACACTTCAATCATTATCACTGTCCACACGATCACAGATTCATTCCAGGCTCTAAAGTAATGATCTAAATGTACAGTACACGACACCATTTCATTACTTTACAGAACCCTCATCTTGCCTGCAAGGACCCTTTAAATTTATTGTTGTGGACCCCCACTTTAAGCAAAAGGCACCAGTTCATCTGTGCAAAGTTTAATTAAGAATATTGAATGGACTTGAATTATGCCACAGAAAAAAAAGTGATGGACAGCACCCATTCCTAATCCCTCTCCCACTTCTTCAAATGAGACTCAAGTTAAACTATAGATCTCATATACCTTCAAAGGAGACTCAAGTTAAACAAAAGGTCTCATATACCTTCATAGGAGACACAAGTTAAACTATAGGTCTCACATACCTTCAAATGAGACTCAAGTTAAACTATAGGTCTCATAAACCTTCAAAGGAGACTCAAGTTAAACTAAAGGTCTCATATACCTTCCAAGTAGACACAAGTTAAACTATAGGTCTCATAAACCTTCAAATGAGACTCAAGTTAAACTATAGGTCTCATATACCTTCAAAGGGGACACAAGTTAAACTATAGGTCTCATATACCTTCAAAGGGGACACAAGTTAAACTATAGGTCTCATATACCTTCAAAGGGGACACAAGTTAAACTATAGGTCTCATATACTTCAAAGGGGACACAAGTTAAACTATAGGTCTCATATACCTTCAAAGGAGACACAAGTTAAACTATAGGTCTCATATACCTTCAAAGGGGACATAAGTTAAACTATAGGTCTCATGTACCTTCAAAGGAGACACAAGTTAAACTATATGTCTCATATACCTTCAAAGGAGACACAAGTTAAACTATAGGTCTCATATACCTTCAAAGGGGACACAAGTTAAACTATAGGTCTCATATACCTTCAAAGGAGACACAAGTTAAACTATAGGTCTCATATACCTTCAAAGGGGACACAAGTTAAACTATAGGTCTCATATACCTTCAAAGGGGACACAAGTTAAACTATAGGTCTCATATACCTTCAAAGGAGACACAGGTTAAACTATAGGTCTCATATACCTTCAAAGGAGACTCAAGTTAAACTATAGGTCTCATATACCTTCAAAGGAGACTCAAGTTAAACTATAGGTCTCATATACCTTCAAAGGAGACACATGTTAAACTATAGGTCTCATATACCTTCAAAGGAGACACAAGTTAAACTATAGGTCTCATATACCTTCAAAGTAGACACAAGTTAAACTATAGGTCTCATATACCTTCAAAGTAGACACAAGTTAAACTATAGGTCTCATATACCTTCAAAGGGGACACAAGTTAAACTATAGGTCTCATATACCTTCAAAGGGGACACAAGTTAAACTATAGGTCTCATATACCTTCAAAGGAGACACAGGTTAAACTATAGGTCTCATATACCTTCAAAGGAGACACAAGTTAAACTATAGGTCTCATATACCTTCAAAGGAGACTCAAGTTAAACTATAGGTCTCATATACCTTCAAAGGAGACACATGTTAAACTATAGGTCTCATATACCTTCAAAGGAGACACAAGTTAAACTATAGGTCTCATATACCTTCAAAGTAGACACAAGTTAAACTATAGGTCTCATATACCTTCAAAGTAGACACAAGTTAAACTATAGGTCTCATATACCTTCAAAGTAGACACAAGTTAAACTATAGGTCTCATATACCTTCAAAGGAGACACAAGTTAAACTATAGGTCTCATATACCTTCAAAGTAGACACAAGTTAAACTATAGGTCTCATATACCTTCAAAGAGACATAGAACCAAAAAAACTTGCTCCTTGATAACCGTCTACAGCAAACTGTGTCTAAATCTTTTGTCTACTGTCATAGGGACTGATTTAGGACAACCATTGTCCATTACCCGGTATGTCCCAAAGAACATTTAATTCCAAAGGCTAATTATGACAGAGTCTGTTTCTTTTGTGTTTTTCGTTTGTTGTTTAACCCTCACTTAGCAATACTCCAGCTATAGGACAGCGGTCTGTAAATAATCAAGTCTGGACTAGACAATCCAGTGATTGACATCAAGAACATCGATCCATTGGGATACGGTGACATGCACCAACTAAGCCAGTGAACCTGACCATCCGATCCCGTTAGTCGCCTCTTACGGCAAGCATGGGTTGCTAACTGGTCGTGACAACGTAACCTACTCATGTTATTATGGAACCTACTCGTGTTTCTCTCTCTCATGTATGCAGCTGTTGTTACTGTTAATCCTGCTATATATATTCTGTACCATCACCTTGGCCTATACCGCCTCGTTGCAATTACAGTAAAAAAAAGAATTTATCTATAAATTGTGTCTACTTTGTAGATAGTTGATCCCATATCACACAATGAATTATGAATGAAGCATATGTTGCAGCATGTTTTCTGATAGCATTGATAATGCATGATAAAATCTCATTAGCATGATAGCACACCATTTAATATTACATTTACCTGAAACATACTTACAAATTTGATGTGGTGTCCACAAATTCTCGCAACATGCTTATGTACTAATAGCTTATTTCCCAGATATACACTTGTCGCTGCTTATAGATTAACCTGTTTAGTAACCGTGAGACAATGTATGTGTTTTAAACATATTTATTTCACAGAATGTGTGACACTGGATTGGTAAATTAGTAAGGACTTATGTGAATACCACTACAGTTGTCATACTTTGTCATCAGTTATAATGTACACTCAAGCAGAGCTCGAGATAAGCTTTTAGTACCATTTGGGTATTTTACCTAAGGGTTTGATTATGATTGGGTATCCACAAGTTTTAGAGGGTATTCAAATCCCCCCCCCCCCCCGATCTTTTTCTTTACATTTGGGTTTTTAACTTAAAACCTGTTTCGTAGCAATCCCTGTAAATCATTTAAAACTATGTGAAAAGTAGTATACCTGTCTGCGTAAACTTGGATTTGATTTGTCTGCATATTTCAGTATATTTTATGCATATTTTATGCAAATATGCAGCTTATTTTGAGCTCTGCATTCCAGGGTAAGTAATAAAGTATTATTTTTGCATAAAACACAGTTGTCGACTCTGAATGTGCTGTAAAATGCTGTAAGCAAAAATCAGCAACATGAGAAATTAAACGATAGTTAGCATTTAGACAAAGTTTGGAAACCTGCCAGAGGCTGATATGAAATTATGAACAGATGTTAGAATTTCTCAATTAATTTTTGCTGTAGCATTTGCATTTCCATAAAGATAGAGTTGAGATCATAATCAATGTATATCAAATGAAACCACAAATAGATGTGACAAACACATCGAAATTCAGCGGCTTCTCTCCACCTGCTCAGAGGCTGATATTTGGTTCCAAGTCTGCACCAAATGATAGTTAAAAAAACCCATTTAAAATTAAAACTTTCTAAGAATTTACGAAAATAAGATCATTTGCAATAATCAAATTTCGAACAACTTCACAACTTTGCCAAGGGCCCTTAGTTTGGAATCCTAAATAAATCCCTGAAAGTGTTAAACTTGTGAATAATCTTCATAAAATCACAGTATGAATAACAAAATTAAGATTTTGGTTTTCAGAAACTGAAAAAAATATGATCAGTCTCAATGTAAAAGAGAGGCTGGGGCTAACTTTCAAAACTAAAATTGCTTATTATTTAGCACCGGTGAAAAGACATTCAACAAGTTCAATGATGGATGAAACTTCTTCTTCTAGTTGGCACACTTTAATTCCAAGGGGCACATCTCAACATCTCTGCGTGCCCCGTGGCACCCTTGACAAAAGATAAGCCACAATAAAGGCTCTTCAGCTTGCCTGAATTATGAAAAAATATTGTTTAAAGCAGGATCACTCAAAAGTCAAAGATAGAAGTTTGGAAAATGCCAAAAAACATGGAATATGTCATAACAAATAAGACATGTTTTTGCAATATTTTTATGATACTTGCAGATATGCCTGAGTAATGAGCAATACATATTCAATGGCATTTTTAAAGTCGGATCAGAATTCTGTGAGCAATTTTTAAAAACACCACAGTTGAGATTATTAAAATGATGTTTCATACCCATTGTCCACATACCAGTAGGGTCTTTGACATTTCAGAGATGTCAAAATGTAAAAGGTAACGACTGTAGATTTATATCTTAACTAGCGGTAAGCGCCATACAGCTACAGCTGGGGTTACCTCCCTTGCACAGCATGGCCAACCACCGAGAGCCATGCTCTTGTATGAAAACGCATGGACCCAAGTAAAGAAGGTTTATGAGAAGTTCACTCTTCTTGTTGATTCACTTTAAAGTTGACACAGCAACTAACATGGTGTCAGAAGCGGGATGGCTGATGCATTTAACAAACCTGCACCATTATCCTTCGAAGGAGACATCTCAGACAACTGGCGGCAATTTGAACTCAGGTTTTCCATATTCATGAAAGCGGCGCACGCTGACAAGAACGACAAAGCTCGTTCATATGTGTTTCTGAACATTGCCGGCAGACAAGCAGTAGAGAAAGAAAAGACATTTGAAGGTGAATCTGAGAATCATATAAATGCCTGAAATGAAAATTTGGAGAATTTTGTTTGCCACAGACAAACACGACAATCGAAAGATTC